CGAAGTGCAAATCTTCACTTCGTCACTCATAACACAAAAATAGTGTATTTTAAACGAAGTGCAAATCTTCACTTCGTCACTCATAACACAAAAATAGTGTATTTTAAACGAAGTGCAAATCTTCACTTCGTCACTCATAACACAAAAATAGTGTATTTTAAACGAAGTGCAAATCTTCACTTCGTCACTCATAACACAAAAATAGTGTATTTTAAACGAAGTGCAAATCTTCACTTCGTCACTCATAACACAAAAATAGTGTATTTTAAACGAAGTGCAAATCTTCACTTCGTCACTCATAACACAAAAATAGTGTATTTTAAACGAAGTGCAAATCTTCACTTCGTCACTCATAACACAAAAATAGTGTATTTTAAACGAAGTGCAAATCTTCACTTCGTCACTCATAACACAAAAATAGTGTATTTTAAACGAAGTGCAAATCTTCACTTCGTCACTCATAACACAAAAATAGTGTATTTTAAACGAAGTGCAAATCTTCACTTCGTCAAGTTTATTTTGTTTTTACCATTTAATTGTTGTAAAATGTCGATATGAAGACTAACCAAAAATATATTTTTGCTTAAATAGCTTCAGGGTCAATTTCTTCAACCATTTCACTTCCTTCGTCAATGTCAATAGAAGCTTCTTCAACCTTTGGTAGGATTTTATGGAGTGTATCTTTATTCGTTATCATCCTCAGAGATGAAGGATAATATTTAACGACATTTTCTCCTTTCTTGAATTCTTTCTGCTGCGTTAAATCTAAAACAATGCTGAAAAATTCAACGTTAGAGTTCTTCATAATCGTATAATGAGAATCTTTAATATTTACATATATTCCTTTATGTTTAAGTAATACTGCTATTTCATGTGGTGTGTAACGTTTTCTGTCAATAACGATAGCATATGGTTTAACAAACGATGTATATAATCCTTTCACAGACTTTTTATTGAATATAACGTTCACATTTATCGCGTTACTGAACTCATTCTTGATGGCAGTAGCGAGAGCATTGTATGAAAAGAACTTGTAATCTTGCATGTGTTTCATTATAATAAAAAGTTTGAAATATTTTAAAACTAACCTTAAAAAATCTAAGCTAATTTTTTCTAAGAAATTTTTTTATTTCCTACTAAAGATGTATCGGAAGTTGTCTAAGTTAGAACACTCGGAAATAAAACAACTTCTTACAGAAGCTAACATAGAAGTAGCAAAGCATTACGCAACAAACAAAAAAGCACTCGCTGACTTCATTAAAGACTACAATGGTGCAATAAGTTATGATAGAATTCATGAGTTCATAAAGCCGCAACGCGGCGAGGACGAAGTCCATGTAAGAGCATTTCCTTTAAATGACGTTGCTATTGACTTATATCATAGACGTTCAGTACCACATGAAGTAAGAAGAGAAATGTTTGATATAACAAATGCGAACGTTGGTGAAACAAGAAGAAGAGACGACACACTGAAACAACAGAGAAGAGAGATGTTTAAAAGTGCTATAGAACAAGTTCGCAAAGCTAACGATGTCATTCGTTCCATTGACGACAAACCAAAAGAAGGTGAGAGATGGTTAAAGAAAGATGAAGAGAATAGGAAGAGAAATGTGAAGTCAGGCAATAGACTCATTGACTTTAACATCGAAGCTTTAGATGAACCAAACAGAGACTACTTACACAAACATTTCGGTAAGGTTTTCATGAGACTCTTAGAGAAGATTAAAATAAACTCCCAACAAAGATGGATGGTATGTTATAAACTTGGTGGAAAGTATGAATGTTCTACGTTAAACCTCAATAATATTGGAACATTACTACATCAGCTCTTGAAGGAGAACTTTATATCAGAGATAGAAGCAAATGCTGCAGGTATTTTTGAAATGCACTATGACTTCTTCTTGACAAACATAAAGAATCTTACTGAAATAAAGATGTATGATTTAACAGAATATGAAGGCTTAACGATGTCAGATGTAAAGAAAGGCAAACCAAAAAAGAGACCATATAGAGATGAAAGCACACTGACAAATGACCAGAAAGCCATTTTGGAAGCTCTTAAGCAAACAGGAAACCCAGCACTTATAGAAAGCTTTTGGAAAGATAATGGTGAAAAGAAGTTTTATAAGAAGAGAAGCGGTCAGTTCTGGAAGTATCTTTGCACATTACCTATAAATCTTGAACGCTACCAAATCTTCAATGAACTGAACAAAAGAACTGCAACACTTATGACAGAAGATAACTGCTTCGTTTATGCTTGCATTCAGGCTGGAGTAAATGAAGAAACTATTGACCACATGAGAGAAGTCATTCGTGTTAGAGACTTTCCTCAAAGTAAAGTACAAGAAATTTCTGACGCAACAGGTATAGCATTTAATGTTACCATTGGTTACTTCAATGACTCAAGACATAATGAAATAAAGAGATACATACCAAAAGAATGTGAAACTGTTCGAACTATTGACTTACTTCTTGTTGAAGACCACTACATGTTAAATGAAAGACTTCCAATGACAACATATTTCATTCGAAACTATAAAGAAATTCTCAAAGCTTGTGGTGGAATGAACATTGAGAAACAGATGAAAATATATACAATGAGAGATGGTAAATACATTGTTCGCATGGATAGAACTACACCGTTATGGGATGTTATGAAAACATTGTGGGAGTGCAAATATTTCGAACCTATTTCTTATGGAGAACTTTTCACATATACGACTGACTTATATAAACAGAACCTTGCACCATTTAAAGATTTGACATATGCTCCAAAGTATTGTGTACAACTGAAGAAGAAAGCCGAGTCAAAAGAAGTAAATAAAAATAAGTGCAAGTTCATTCCTGAGCACGTTTTCTTTGCTGACTTTGAGTGTAGTACCGATGGCTTTCATAAAGCTTTTAACATATGTTACGACAGTGAAGATGGTTCAGTGAGTGAAAGCATTTGGGGTCAGAACTGTGCAACAGAATTTTTGGAACGACTTCCTGACAAGAGTTTAATATATTTCCATAACCTCAGCTATGATATAAACTTCATCTTAAGACACATGACAGAAGTGAAAGGAACTCCCATCATTAAAGGTTCACGAACAATGCAAATAACTGGCTTATATAAAGGAAGGGCACTTATTATAAAAGACTCTTACAGTGTTATAAATAAGAAACTTAAACTATTTCCTGCTATGTTTAACTTACAAACAGGACCGAAAGAAGTATTTCCATATAACTACTACAGCAGTACTTTGTTAGCAAATGACAACAGAATTGGTGTCATTTCTAAGCTTGTAAGTTTATCCGGATGCAGATACATTCATGAAAAACATAGATTCCATCAAAGGTTGCAGAATAGATGAAAACCATTTCGACTTAGAAAAATATAGCACATTTTACTGCAAACAAGATGTAAGAATTTTAAGAGAAGGTTTTGTAAAGTTCCGCAATGACTTATTGAAAGAGTTTGATTTAAACGTATATGACTACGTTAGTATTTGTTCTATTGCTAACAAATTGTTTGAGAACAGAGTGTACTTCCCGAATGGAAATTTATATGACCTCTCAAATAAACCAAGAGAATTTATTTCACGCTGTATTCAAGGTGGAAGATGTATGCTGTCAGATAACATGAAACAAAAGAGCGAAAAGAAACTCATTGCTGACTTCGATGCTGTTTCATTATATCCCTCAGCTATCGCGAGACTTTATACTTTAGAAGGAATTCCAAAAGTATTGAAGGATGAGATGTTAAGCACAGAGTATCTCATGAGACATTTATTCGATGACGACCAAAAGGAACCCATTGGTGAAAAGTTTATGTCCGGCTTCTTTGTTCTCATTAAGATAACAGAGATTGGAATACATAGACACTTTCCTTTAATAGTTTGTGACCCTGAACTAAATCCAGAACTTAACGTTCCCAGAAGTTCAAACACTTGCTGTTTAATGTATGTTGACCATATAACATTACAAGACCTCATAAAATATCAAGGTGTCAAATGTGAAGTGTTGCAAGGATACTATTACGATGGAAACAGAGATATTAGAATAAGAGATGAAGTAAAGAAGTTGTTTGAGTTAAGGTTAAAGTATAAGAAAGAAGGAAATCCTTTGCAAGAAAATATAAAGCTCATTCTGAACAGTATTTATGGCAAAACTACTCTATCTCCTATTGAGTCAAAAATAACCATAGTAGATGACAAAGATGCTATAAGATATGCTATAAGAAACTACAACCATATAGTGAAGTTCGAAGGTTTGGATGGTTCAGATAAAACTATTTTCAAGCTAACCAAAAGCATTTGCAGACACTTTAACTTTTGCCCACTTGGTGTTAACATTCTGTCTATGTCGAAGAGAATAATGTGTGAAGTATTCTGTACTGCTGAAGACTTAGGAATGGACATCTTTTATAGCGATACGGACAGTATGCATCTCTACAATGAAGATATCCCTCGTTTAGCTGAAGAGTTTGAGAAACGTTATGGAAGAGTTCTCATTGGTAAAAAACCTTGGTCAATTTCATTCTGACTTCGCAGAAATAACACCTGGAAAACAAAGTTTAGCATACAAGTCAATATTTTGTGGAAAGAAGACTTATATAGACTTACTCACGAATGATTTAAATGAAGTTGCATTTCACTGCAGAATGAAAGGCGTGAAGCAAGATGTTATTGCTTTAACCGCTAATGAAATGTTTCCTGACTCTGTTCAGTGTTTCTATGATGAAGATAAAGGTTTAATGGTTCCGCAAGGAAAATTTGACAAAGACTCTGAGTTCAGTGTTATGAAGTTATATAAAGCACTTTATGATGGTCAAGAGATTGGATTTGACTTATGTAAGTCATGTCAACCTTGCTTTGAAGAGAAGTTTAACTTCTCAATAACGACTAAAACAAGCTTTATTCGTAAGTTGAAGTTCTGAGGTCATTTATTTTTGTCAGCAATGAGGTCATTCGTGATAAAAATAAAACTAGCGGCAAGGGCGAAGCCCATGTGGTCATTTACAATACTGCGATGGTAGAGTTTAAGAGTTGTGCTTCAATATAGAGACAGTCCTTATGGTCTGGAGGTAAGAACACTGGGCAGTTATGGTCATGAGTGGAGAACATGTCTATCCAAAACTCACGATTGAAGCCAGTTAATTTATAGTATTTAGGGTTAGGAAGTGGTGAAGTTCTTGTATGACCAATGAACTCATTTTCAACTCCCTTACTTAAGTTTGAATATAATATAGCTTGCTTTCTATCCCAAATGCCAGGTGTTACAATCTTTGAAAATTCATTTTTCCTCGGAAGCATTGCATCATAATTGAAAACATTCTTGAAATCATCATTGGGTTCAGAGATTTGAAACCTTATACGTAATGGATTTTCTTTCTTTTTAGCTACTTCATTGAATGGTGAATATATAACAAACTGACAGTCATGAGTTCCATCTTCATTTTCATTAAATTCATAATGAAAGTCTATAAGTTGTGGCCGACTACCTTCTTCCTTCAGTTGTGCAAGAAACTCACGTAAAGGCTGTAAAGTTTGTACTTCAATGTTGAACTTTTTCTCGAACATCTCATTAAATGAAATCATACATTGCAACAATGTTGTATCGTCTTTAAAGTATTTGTATATGTGAATGTTTTGGGCGCTTAAAGACTGTTCGTCATTTTCTATCTCGACTTGAAGTATAAAGTCAACCTTTCTAAAAGCACGTGTTATATACATAGATGTTATGCCAATGTACTTCTCTTCATTTATGTTCACAATCCAGTCTGTTGGAAACTTAAACGTTACTCTGTTCCCCTTTATTTTGACGTCAGGGTTTTCACTACTGAACGCAACAGTTAAAGGTATTTGTCTATACATTTAATTCGGATAAAAATAAACCATTTACTCTTTCTTTGCTTCAGCTTCTTTAGCTTTTGCTTCAGCTTCTTCTCTAGCTTTCTTCGCCAGCAAACGTGGGTTCTTTTGTCTTCCAGCAGCTAATGCAGCAAGTTGTTTTTCACTAAGTTTTCTCTTTGGTCTCTCTGGCTTTTGTTCTTGTTTTTGTTCCTTCAGTTCGGATAAAATTTGCTCGCGAATTTCTTTCTTCAATGCTTCAACATCTATGACCCCTTGGGTCTTGTCCATATGACTTGTCTGAGTCATTTGACTGCAGATAAAAAACAAAATTAAAACTTTAACCGATGTAAAATGAGCTTGTCAAAATCAGAGCGAGAGTCTATTATATTAAATGACGCAAGAGGAATACAACATCCTTTCTATTACGTAAGTCAGAGTAAAGATGGTAAAATATACGTAAGAAAAAGAAAGGTTCCATTAGCGAATGCAGAGAGCGACAACATTAAGGTGCATGGCACCGAGGGTGAAGACCACGAAGCCCATATAAAACCTTCTGTTCAAACTGAGCCACCAAAAGAACCAGAAGAAAAGAAGCCAGATGTACTTTCAATAATGAACCAAGAGCTTATTGCAAAGTTCGTGAATTTCATTGAAAAACAAACCGAGTCAAAGAATCCTGACCCGCCAGTGAAAGAAGTTGAGACAAAAGAGAATGTACAGTTCATTGAAAATGTCAAGAAACAACTTCCACCACGAATGCCAAGAAGAAGAGTGAGAATAATGAAGTAAATAGATATTTTTATCTGAAGTAAATACATGCAGAACGAACAGTTAAACGAATTTACTCCAGCAGAGCATATTCATCAGATTCGCTCATATTTCGATATCATAGACAATGCAGTTCAAATTGGTGACACTAATAGAAAATATTCTGACGCAAAGATTCCATCACAACCTGGAACTGCTAAAGATAACACATGGGTAACATTCAATCTCTCACCTCCTGGTGAAAATATGTTGGACCTTTACAATACATTCATTACGTATAAAATGGAAGGTCAATTTATTGCAGATAAAGAAATTGGTTCAGGTTCCAATAAAACAAACCCACCAGGATTTTGGATTGGTTTCGATGACGCTTTCTATGCAGTTGCTGGATATCAAATCCTTGCAAATGGTCGTATCGTATATTCTCAAGACAACGCAAGAGAAGAAGCATATATAACTTCAAACTCACAAACTACCGAACAAATAAAGAAAGTAGATGTTTTCTCAAAGACTCGACATGAAGATGTATGGAGTCATTCGGGAACATGCAGAACAGGACAAATTGTTAGTGGTCCAATTACAGCAGGAAAATCATTTGATTTTAAGCTTCGTTTAAGAATTCCTGTTAGAAGATTCCATCCATTAGAAGCTATTCGATTTATTCCAGCTTTTGCAGGAAACATTCAGCTTAAAGTAAAGTTCAGTAGCGACGCCTTACAATGCATATCTATATCTGTAAATGATATCATTGCTTTCAATCCAACTCTTAAAGTTGCATTTGCTTCAGATTCAAATCCACCGACAAATAAATTTGTTCCATGGAATGAACCATTCACTATGATAACGAAGGCAATAGAAGCTAGTGGAACAGTTACTATTACAACTGTAACCCAGCAACTATTTCGAACAAAGATGGATTTTAATGAATGTTTCATTCATCCAAAGTCATTCTCTTTAGACCCTAACATTTATACAGAACTTGTAGAACATTATACAAACGAGGCTTTATGTTTTCCTGTTAAAGTTATGGATTGGATTCCTATGGACGGTTCATTCTCAAAGAATACAGATAGTTCAAGTGCAACATTTACAGCAGCTTATACGCCTATTAATGTTAAAAGTATTTGGGCACTATTTAGAAAGAAAGACAACTATTATGTTAATTTTGAGAACCCTAAGTTTAAATATCTTCAGCTTTCCATGGGAGCTTATGGAAATATGCCTGCAGAACCTGAAAAATCATATGGACCTGTATTTTATGAAATGGTTGCGAACGCCTGCAATACAAACAATGATATGATTGGATTTAATGAAGATGTTATGAGGTCATTGGTGGATGATGGTAGTGTGGAACATAAATGGGATAGCTATGACAACACACATTTCTTATGTGGTTTTCCAACAGAAGTGGACTTTTGCTTCCAACAAGGTCAAACATCTACTGCTCCAATAACATACAAATTGTCTGTTAAAGGACCTATTGAACTAGCAACTGAAAATGTACCAAAGCCACTTATTGGATTTATGAGGGATTGTTGCTTTGCCATTCAGGTGCGTGCTAATGGCATCCCCATAATAAGATTAGATGACTATAACTTAGCTACGGACGACAGTGAGGAATAAAGGGTGAACGTTTATTTTTAAAGCTTATAAATGAGTTCTTCATCAAGCTCTCGTGAACCTTCACCATCTATGAAACAAACTTTACCAAACGATTATGGAGCACCTATTGAATATTTCTTACGAGCTGCACAATGGCAAAGAGCAGTCTCACCAAGGTTAGGTGTTCCACCAGCTCCTGTCAAAAATAGCATTTGGTCAAGTCCTTATATAAAATATGGTCTCCCACTAGGTTTGCTAGCTACAGCAGGAGCAGTAATGATGTTGAAAAGAAATAAAGCAAATGTTGTAAATAATACTGAAGTAGCTGAAATTAAACAAACTCCAACACCTTCGCCAAAACCAACGCCTTCACAAACAACACCTTCAATGACTCCTGAACCTATGGAAGTACAAACTCCTGTTCAAAAGTCAACTCCAAAACCGACTCCAACATTTAAACCAGAACCTACACCACAAATAAATCGTAAAACTCCTGCGTTTCCTTACTGAAAAAATAACGTTATTTTTATTTAATATTAAAATTTTTATTTGATTGAAATGACAAATAAAGTCACTGAAGCAATGAAACAAAAGTTTTGGTAGAATACATTAAATCAGGAACTATTCCAGAAGGTTTTTACATTCATACTATGAAGGATGGTAGAGTTCAGTTTAGAAAGATAAAGCAACCATTAGATAAAGAAGGAATTTTGAGAAAGATTAAACTTCATGAGGACAACATTGCTGAACTTAAGAAGAAGTTAGAAGAGTTGGAGAAAGGAAGAGAGTTATAAAGTAATGAATTCAACAGGGTGAAAAAACAGGTGAAAAAAGAGGTGAGATCTCACCACTTCACCTAAATTTAAATGGATGTTTTCATACGTGTGAGGGTGGTGATATCATTAATTTTTTATTTTATTTTTAAGTTTATTTTTTATTTTATTTGGATGTAATGACGAAAACTATTGAGATAACAAACTACAACGGTCATGAGTTCAAGAATTTGTTCTTCGTTCCTCGTGAAAATACATTCTATCAGATACGAGGGAGAAAGGGTAAAGTTAGTTTGAGCGTTTATGAAGGAATGAAGAATGGAAAGTTTATACAAGCATACGATACAAACGGTAAACGTGTTTCATTAGCTTTGTCAAAACTTACAGGTATAAACTATGACAGTGATTTTGACTCTGACGATTGGAGCGACAGCAGCGATACTGAAGAATATGAACTATTGTGTGAAGCACAGCAATGGGAAGAGTTGCAATACTTTTGTAAGTGAGAACGTTTATTTTTTACAGTAGTGAGGTGAAGTGGTTGGCGGCTTTATAAATATTTAAGGTTAAGTTGGTGTTTGTGTTGTAAAATATACGTTACTGGTTTTGTAAAGTGTCAAAACAGCTAAGTTGTGTACGGAGGCGCGCAGTGCCTCAGTACACGACTTAGGTATACTAACTAGGTTATAAAAAAGTTTTAGAGAGTTACATACATGATGACACAGTTTCATTTCACGATATGCTTAAATTATACGAAAAAGAGAATCTTTTCAAAATTCGGCGAGATCCAGAAAAAATTGATGAACATCCAAATCAGTATGTTTCCCAATACGTAAATCAGCAATGGCATACTGATTTAAAAAGCTTCAAAGAAGAGACAAATGGTACCAAGCATACTTATCATTTAATTGCCTTTATCGATGACAGATCTCGTTTTTGTATTTATTACGAAATTCTTCCCGATAAAACAATGAAATCAACTTCAAAAGCTTTACAAAATGCTATCGACTCTATCAAAATTATTCCATACGAACTTTTGACAGATAATGGATGCGAATTTACAGGAAAGGACTTCAAAAACGTTCTTCAAGTAAATGGCATTCAACACCATTGGACAGAACCTTACACACCACAGTTAAATGGTAAAATAGAACGTTTTTGGCAAACAATCTTTTCGGCTCGCCCAGATTTTATCGAAATAAGAGAATTTTTACCTCACGCAATAGAAGAATACAACACAGTATGGGTTCATACAGCTCTTAAAGATCTTTTCGGTGGAAAACCTACTCCAAAATCAATTTGGGCCCAGGGTCCTAAATGGACAAAGGACTTAAACCCAAATCTATAGATCCAAGGTGATCTGATTTTTGCATCCCTGGGATGGACGATACACCCAAAGTGTCACCTTTTTGGGATAACATGAATTTTAAATATCATGAGAGTTCTGCAAACCATATGCACAATATCTATTCAGCCTGACTTCTTGTATATATGAGTTAGACTTCTTAAATATTGTGCTTGGGGCGATATAAGCATTTCCGAGATTACCATCGTGCTCTATAGTATGCTACTTCTCCCTGGTTCTAGCTCAGTTCCAAGGATATTGGCGTTCAAGGATTTGGCAAGGTCCTTCCGAAGTCTCTCATTCGATGAGAGATTTCGGAAGAATCTTGCCTTAAAGTACTCCAACTCTTGTTCTTTTGTTCCTAAATAGTGAGAAAAGTTATTTGACTACTTAAGGTAGAGATTATCCGAGGTCCCTCATTTGATGAGAGGCCTCGGATAATCTCTGCCTTAAAATTGTACACTTGTAGTCCATGAGAGTGTAAGTATACATTGATAGGACAGCTTTCTTCTGAAGTCTTAGATTTGATGAGAACCTCAGAAGAAAACTGTCCTATTTTATAGTAAAAGGAGTTTCAGGAGCTCCAAAGCTCCCTTTCGTAAGGATTAGGAGCTTTGGAGCTCCTGGTTCGTAGATGTGTTTCGCATCTTTCATCAGCAAAGGACATTTACCATCTGGGACTCTGTTGATGGAGACTCAGGAGCTCCAAAGCTCCCTTTAGTAAGGATTAGAAGCTTTGAAGCTCCTGGTTCGTAGACGTGTTTCGCATCTTTCATCAGAAGAGGCCCAAATGGTAAATAGCCTCTGCTGATGAGCTTCAGGAGCTCCAAGGCTCCCTCTCGTAACGATTAGGAGCTTTGTAGCTCCTGAAGGTAAGGTAGGATTGCTCTGATCTCTAATCAGTAGATGCCATGCCTCATTATGAACTCTACTGACAAGAGATCAAGAGCTCCAAGGACTCCCTTTTTAGTTAGTGGCGTTCTCACCATTTAGTAGGATTGCTGATCCTACTAATGAAGTGATCACTTAGTATACGTTTTGAATAAATTGAATTTTTTTTTAGAATTTAGTATTTTTTATAGACATCACATGTATATTATAAATACATAAATATATTCTTTAATTCAAAAAATTCAATTCGGTTTTGGGATGGGTATCCCAGCCCCAAGTATTCAATTTTATTCAATTTTTTAAGAATTTTGGGTTGGGATGCCCAGACCAAAACAAGCTTTATATTTTGATGTGTAGATACGTATGTGTGCATCATTGTTGTGTTATATATTATGTTTTTAATGAAAAAAAATCTGATTCAAAAAAAATTATCACTAATTAGTTGATAATATAAAGAAAAAATAGATAAATTGTATGTTTTGAGAGTATTTATCCACATTCACTCATATGAATTTCATTAAATAGTGTCTTTTTACTCCCAAATTTATTTTGAATTATTGAAATCAAAGAAAAAAATCAGAAAAATTTCTCGAAATTTTTATTTTCAAAAAAAATTTGGATTTTATATTGAAAACTGACACTGGGAGGATGATAGGGCTGGGATTGGAGATACCCCGCTCACTTGGGAAAAATACGGATCTATACCCAAATCTTGAGTTCGAAATACAGCCTCGTAACTAAAAATAAAGTAAAAATACGAATAAACATTTTATTATAATTTAAATAATTTTTTATTCATAAAGTAATACGATATATAGCTAAGCTATGTAAGGATATTCTGATGCTGAGAGTTTAAGAACTTTAAATTACGTATAGAAAAAAATTCATTTAATATTTTGTAACATTTTTTAAATTGATAGATAGTTAGATTTTGTAGGGGAAGGTAAGATTCTTTGTGGTAATAATGGTCGTTGAAATTAAAATGAATGTAAGATTTGTGGAGAAATTGTATAAATTTGCATAGTGTTAGATTCAGAATAGGAGCATATGAGCCAGTGATTGTGTCTAATGTTTTTAAGGTGCTAATTGGAAGTAGAAAAGAAAAAAATTTGTTGCAATAACATCATATTGCAAAAAAGTTTTAAAATATGATGTATGAATAAGAGTATGATTGGTATAGATTTGTGTTGTATAAATGTGATTGAACAATTGTTAATGGAAAGTTCAAAAACTTGGGTGCAATCAGAACTGATTGCACCCAAGTTTTTGAACTTTGTATAAGGAATTGTTGGCTATGATGTACTGATCATGAATCAGTACATCATAGCCAACAATTCCTTCCCAAACAACCCGAAATTTGTCTGATTCCACACTAATTTTATTAATTTATCTAAACTTTTATCCTCGTCTACAATTTAATCATCAATAATTATTTCTTGTTCTATTTCACTATTATATATATATATATATTTATATGATTTGATTTAAAAAAATAAATAAATAAACTAATAAATCATTTACTCAAATATATCAAAAGTTTTATTTTTATATATAAAGATAACTACTTTTAAAAAAAATACCCTATATATTTTTGCTGTGTAAACTTGTCATTTTTGTCAGAAGTGAAGTGAACCGAATTTTCATGCACAACACATTTTTTTGAGAACTTTATTGAATAATTCATCGTTACCATTGAATTTTTCTCTATTGGAGCGAAGAGCATGAATAACATGCAAAGAACACCAGAATATTTTGACTTCTTCGTTGTCTTTGAAAAGCTCATAAATTGCATTGAAAATATTGAGAGCACAATCAGAAATAAAATATTTTGGAGACTTCTTAGACCATTTAAAATATTTTCTTAAGCAATATTTGATATTTTCTGAGTTGTCTGGTTTGATCACAAAATGTAAAAGAGGTACTGAATGTGTTTTGGCAAATTTTGTAGACATTATATAATAAGCATATTTGTGAATAATTAATTTGAATGTGGAATCGATATGAAAATTGAATGGAAGACCGATATCGATTTTCTGGTTTATTTCATGCGAAGCGAAAATAAATTTGATTTCACATTTTGAAGCATCGGCTATGTCATATTTCAATTTGAGATAGTCATGTTGATTTCTTTCTTTGTATCTTGCTATTAATATATCAGTTGAAATTAGTTCATTTGAATTTGGAGAAATAAAATCATCCGATTTTTTTGAATGTCTCTCAAAAAATTTGAAATAGCTATCTTGTGACATTGCTAAAAATTTATAATTATGTGTCAGTGGTATTTTCAAGCTATCATAAACGTTTTTGAGACCTGTAGATTTTTCTCCACCTTTTTCAATGTATTCAGTTAAAAATAATCTTAAGAAATACGATGATGAATTTTTTTTTGTTTCCTTTTCTGTAGTATGAATATGAGTAAAACATCCACCTTGATATTGATATGTGTCACCTTTTTTGAAAAATTTAATTTCTGCTGGGTAATTTGGCATCGGGCATTTAAAATACATATAATCTTCGTTTGCTTTTTTAGTGACTTTAAAACGATCTAATTTTATGTTTGCATTCATTTCGAATTTAATTCCAAAACGTAAAAAACTCATTTTATCAATGTACTCTCCTATATTGCATGGAGCAACCAGCGTATTTTGAGACATTGTAAAAAATGATTAAAAAAATAATAAATCTAAAAATTGACAACTATTCAATTTTTTCCCCAAATGATAGGAGTAGGTGCCAAAAGTGCTTACTCTTAAACAACCGTCGGATTTCCGGGTGAAATCGTGACACACTTTCGTCTTTCGTAGGCAGTGGTGGTTGTTACAAAAGGTAACTTCGAATGTAGCGTGAAATCTACAAAAAAAATTCTGAAATTTGAATGGAGAACACAAAAATTGAATAGTTTACGTCAATAAAAAAGAGAAAAATGAAGCCAATGTGTCTCGAACCTAGGACTTAGAGCAGCAATCCAACTGTTTATCCCATTACACTACATGCATCTCTCACCTCCGTGAATGAGATCAACTATATGATAACTTTTTCCCCATTATATTCTTGTGGAAAAGTGACAAATAGCAACTTTGACCCTCTCTCCAAATGATAGTTTTTGGCAATCCATTACATACATCGAATATAATATGAAATATTCAGTTATATATAATTTTAATAGTGTTTAGTAAATTCTTTGATATTTCAAATTAATTACCAATTTATTCAAATTCTTTCCCTAATAGTATTTATTATAGATTTTGTATTCTCAGAATCTATGGAATCATATTTAACCAATCATTCATCGTATTAATTATCTTGAAAATTTAAATAGATAGTGAATTAGGGATGCGACGGTTTTACGCCATGACCGTTTAAAAATAGAATAATACGCCATTTTTGGGGCCGAATGGCGGGTACGAAGTAGCCGCCATTCGGCCGAAAGACAAAACAATATAAAATTATCGCCGCCCTTTTTTTTCTTTCTCTTTTCTCTTTTTTCCCCTCTTTCTCTTTTTCACTCATTAAAAGTAGTAAGAGAAAAAAATAATATTAATTTTTAAAATTTTTATAAAAATAAAAGAAAGTATTATAAGAAATTATTTAGAGATTTATATGCAAAGTGTTAAGAATAATCTGAGGACAAGTCTAAGGATAATCTGAGAATAATCTGAGGATAGTCTGAGAATAATCTGAGGAGTAATCTGAGGAGTAGTCTGAGGATAATCTGAGGAGTAGTTCGAGGATAATCTGAGGAGTAGTCTGAGGATAATCTGAGGAGTAGTCTGAGGATAATCTGAGGATAATCTGAGGACTACTCTGAGGATAATCTGAGGAGTAGTCTGAGGATAATCTGAGGACTAGTCTGAGGAGTAGTTCGAGGATAATCTGAGGAGTAGTCTGAGGATAATCTGAGGAGTAGTCTGAGGATAATCTGAAGACTAGTCTGAGGATAATCTGAGGAGTAGTCTGAGGATAGACTGAGGATAACCTGAGGAGGATTAATCAAAGGAGAAATACTCTAAGGTAGAGCAGTTGGATCACTACTCAACCACAATTTACTTTTAACCATTTTTTGAATTCTTATTCAAAATAAAAACGCATTTTTATATAATTCTCTTATTTATTTTAATTTGATAATATTTATTGATTATATTTCAGATCACTCAATTAAAAAAAGTCGTCTTTCTTTCAAAATTTCTGAATTATTATCCTTTCAATTTTAATGAATAAAATCATATTTATTCTTCTTTAAAACACTTCATTTCTTTAATTGTAGTGTTGCTTACTGCAACACTTAAACCAATTGTGGATTCCATTGAATGGCCTTCAATGGAATTCACAATTGGTTTAAAATTAGTTGATGCATATCCTATGTATGGTCCTAATATGGTCTGGCCAACCATATTCTAGTTGGAAATACATAGGATAGTATCACTAATCAATACAATACATAACAAAGTTAAATGCGAAAACAAAATCAAATTACAAAATCGTTCAAAACGAAGAATGAATACAAAAACACCTATGCACTGAGGCTGGCCACCTCAGTGCATTTCGAATAAACATACAAGTATATACAATTTAAAAAAATATTTTATAATTTTTACAAAGACAAGAGCAACTATGTTTTCCAACTAGCTCCCTTCATGATCTTTAGCCTAGCGTCCATTAATTCCTTACTCATGTTTAAATTTGAACAAGTTAAGATGAGACGCTGGGCTGAGATTGTTCTTTCACAGCTTGCCTCCGCACAAGTGCAGCAAGTTATGCGGAGGCATATATTTGCGAACAATCCCCAATTTTCATCATTGATTTTAAAATTAAAATCAAAAATGTCCAAGCCACTTACAGTTCTTGATGTTTTAAAGATATGATTGTTATTGGCAATCATATCTTTAAATAGTTTAACTATATCATCAATCACATCATCACTACGTCCTCTTTTTTTGAGTTCGCTTGTGAACCAGCTAATTGCAGCATCAACCATCGGAGAATCACAGAGCTCTTCACCCTCAGTATCATCATTACTCTCATGAACTTCTTCCTGCTCATGAAGATCTTCATTGAATCTATTAAGATCCTGGGCTGGCCAATTGTGCTTCAACGAGGGTGCTGGTGGTTCGGTGTTTCCTTCTGCTTCAGCGGCGGCGTCTCCCATGAAGATTTCCCTGACATCTTCTATCGGGTCTTCCTCTTTCTGCCGGTAGTGGAACATCTTCACGTAGCCGCTTGTTGGGGGAGGGAATTCTCTGCTATTGATACTGTTCCTAGCAAACATGAGGCCTTTGGGTGTAATGATGTATGCAAATGCCCAAAGGCCTCCCATTTGCGAATGAATGGTCTTCTCAAGCAAGATGTCCCTAAAGATTCTGGCGAATCTGTTGTTTTCGGCATCAAGCTCTTCCAGGGCCTTCATTGCATTATAGATGCAAGGATAGACCCTGGAAAGTGGAGACTTCGGGTCTTCGAAGATCAGGACCAAGCTGGCGAAGATGACGGAACACTTATAAAGATCTTCTGTTCCGTCAGGAATGGAATGGAATAATGTCACCTTCGCCCGCTTGGTCCAGATAAAATGGAGAGGATAGATGAAGGATACCCATCTTGTTTCGACATTGGATGGGCATCTTGATCCAAAAACCTCGACATGCTGGCGGCATATTTCGGCAACTTCCAGCAATTGATCCTTCAATGGTGAAATTGCTGGATGGTTCATTGCCGCCTTATAAGCATTGTGTACCCTGTGGCAAATACAGGGTACAACAATGATTTCCTTCATCCATTGCACCTTGGATAAGGCAAGGATGGAATTATCCTTACCAGTAAGTGCAGCCAATTGTGCTGTTCTTCCATCAACCATGACACAGCCGATCTGCACGTGACAATCATGGATTGCCTTCAATCCATTATTGATCGCGAGTGTGTAGTTGGCAGTCTTCAATCCAGTCATTCTTTCTGTATGGGCTGGATAAGACTGAATTGGAAAGCAAGTATTTTCCAACACAAAGTCGAGTAAAGATCTCTTCTGTGTGGTACCTTCGTCTAGAGCGACACTAGCGTAAGGCATGCTGAACGTAGAGAAGCGCGCCATAATACTTGAATGAATCTCTTTGGATGTCTGAGTTAGTATACATATCAAGGGTACGGCGGCACTGCGCGCCTCCTTACCCATTATATGTGAATTTGACACTTTACAAAACCGTTAACGTATATTTTACAACACCAACCACTTCACCTCACTAATGTTTTCACAAACGACTTCACTACTGTAAAAAATAAACGTTCTCACTTACAAAAGTATTGCAACTCCTCCCATTGCTGTGCTTCACACAACAGTTCATATTCTTCTGACTCACTTTCTCTTCATATAGGTCAAAATCACTGTCAAAATAAATGTTAGTAAGTTTTGACAAAGCTAATGAAACACGCTTACCGTTGTGTATCGTAGCTTGTATAAACTTTCCATTATGCTTGTAGTCTAAACGCTCAAACTAACTTTACCCTTTCTCCCTCGTATCTGATAGAATGTATTTTCACGAGGAACGAAGAACAAATTCTTGAACTCATGACCGTTGTAGTTTGTTATCTCAATAGTTTTCGTCATTAATATAAAAAATATAAAAAATAAACTTAAAAATAAACTTAAAATAAATGATATCACACCCTCACACGTATGAAAACATAGCACAAAAATAATGTTTATGTTAGAATGTTAGATCTAACACGTTTTCTAACCTCTTTTTTCACCTCGTTGAATTCATTGCTTATAACTTCTTCCTTTCTCCAACTCTTCTAACTTCTCTTAAGTTCAGCAATGTTGTCCTCATGAAGTTTAATCTTTCTCAAAATTCCTTCTTTATCTAATGGTTGCTTTATCTTTCTAAACTGAACTCTACCATCCTTCATAGTATGAATGTAAAAACCTTCTGGAATAGTTCCTGATTTAATGATTATCTACCAAAAACTTTTGTTCATTGCTTCAGTGACTTTATTGTCATTTCAATCAAAGGTGAAGCTAGCACAGCGATAATGGATTTCATGACTTTTTAGTATTTCATGCAATCTTAACAGATAGCCTTAATAGTCCTTCCAGTGTCCCTAGCTGTCCCTCCTTTTTATATAACTCCATGACATTTATAATCTCGCGAAACTTAACAGGTAGCATAACAGATTAAAATCAGATGAGGTTTTGAACCAAAATTTCTAAGCAACGTTGTCAAGGATTTTGAGGAACTAGGGACAGAGTGTGGCAAAGTCCAAGATTTAATTTATCTTCATCTGTTTCATCAGCTATCTCATCTAATATGCCAATATTTTATTCATAACTCGTGGCAAACTCACTAACTTTCATTATGTTCATCTGCATGCTTCATCTGATAGAAAGTATGACTTTCATTAACTCTGTGAGATAATGAAAACTACTAGGGACAGAGACCATGGCAAAGTTTATGATTTTCATTATTTCCGGAACTTAATGAAAACTACTAGGGACAGAGACCATGGCAAAGTTCATGATTTTCATTATTTCCGGAACTTAATGAAAACTACTAGGGACAGAGACCATGGCAAAGTTCATGATTTAATTATTTCTTCACTAACAACAAGTACAAACTCCAACACTAACATCAAGTACTAACCTCAGCACAAATGACAAACACTAACGACTTCACAAACTCCAACACTAACGACAAAAATAAATGTCCTCACTTCTTAACAAAGTAAATGTGTTTCTTACACCACCATAGTCAAACGTTTTCTTTCAAACATCGATTGAAACTTATTTTGAGCCATTGGCTTTAGTCTCTTTTTCTTCAAATACGCCAAGAAATCTTCTTCACATCTTTTCACTTCATAGCCTTCTTTAAACTCCTCCTTGTTAAGTTCTATGAAATCCTTTATCTCATTCTTTGTTGCAATGGCTTCTTCATGAACGACATCATGAACTATTTCATCATTGTTCTCATGAACGACCTCCTCACTGTTCTCATGAACTATTTCATTATTGTTCTCATGTATGATGACCTCCTCACTGTCTTTCATGAACGACCTCCTCACTGTTTCATGAACTATTTCATCATTGTTCTCATGAACGACCTCCTACTGTTCTCATGAACTATTTCATTGTTCTTATGTATGACCTCTCACACTGTCTTCATAAGCGTTCAAAGTCCCTTTACTATTACTTCAATCTCATGCTGTTCACAGTAGTACTTAAACTCACTGTATATGTCTTGTTGTATGTTATATTGCTTCCCATGTACTCCATGAATTTTTCAAGCACTTCCTCATAATTCACTGTTTCTTTCTTTCCACGACCTTCTAATATCATACTTGCTTCGTAAATATAACTTCTTGCAAACCGTCTCGCTTTCTACTTCTCTTCACAAATTCTCTCATCTTACCGCCAATACATTTGAACTACATGCAAAGAATTCATTCTCCTTCGCAAATCTCTTATATCTTCTGTAGCACTCTGTCGAGACACTTTCACACTAAAGGACTTGAGGAAAAATAAGTACATGAGTGAAAGAGGTATTGACATAGCTAGTGTTATAAATGACTTAAGAAGATGTGTTGTCGTTATTGACGGAGCACGTATGACATATCTAGTGAAAGATTATGATGGAATACGAGACACAACAACACTTGTGTCAGTAGATAGCAAGGAATTCATAAAGCTCATGAAGAGTATTTATGTAACGTATTGGAGAAAGGATGTGAACGCACTGATGATTTATGAAGCGGGTCAGAACAGAAACTATCTTATGAAGTCAGGCATGAGATTCTTTGACGAAAGAGATGACATTTACAGCTATTTCAGAGGATATGAGATGAGGTACTGAATGAAGTAGATGAGAACGTTATTGAAGGATATTAAACATGTTCACGATGTCATATGTAATGAGGATGAAGAGCTTTATGAGTATGTTTTGAACTGGTTCGCCTACATCGTTCAAAATCCTTGTGGAAAGACTGGAACAGTACTTTTGTTAATAGGAAAGCAAGGAACTGGTAAGAATGTACTTAGTAATGTTCTATGCGAGCTCATTAGCAAGTACGCCAACAATAATATAACGGCAATAGAGAATGTGGTTGGTAGATTCAATGCTGCTATTGAGAACATGAAGCTCATCGTATGCAATGAACTAAGCTCATGCGATACGTCTAAGGTCATGAACCACGACGCACTAAAGTCAATAGTAACAGAGACTCAGTTTAAATCAGAAGTGTCAGCCAGTAAGAAAGATAGAGAATGTTTGTAATATCATCATGATATCTAACAACTTCAACTCAGTAAAGATTGATAAAGACGACAGAAGTTTGTTGTCATTGACGTAAGCAGCAGATACAAAGGAAATTACGAAATATTCTCAAATCTCATTGAAAGCTTTAATGAAGAGTTTTATTCAAACTTACTGACGTACTTCATGAAGAAAGATTTAAGTGAATTTGATGTAAGGAAGATACCATTCACCAGGGCTAAACAAGAACTCATCGAAATGAACAAAACACCTTACCAAATGTTTTACGAGGAGTTCATTGAAAAGTTTGTATCCGGATGGAATTGCAGAGTGCTACAGAAGATATAAAGAATTTGCGAAGGAGAATGAATTCTTTGCATGTAGTTCAAATGTATTTGGCGGTAAGATGAGAGAATTTGTGAAGAGAAGTAGAAAGCGAGACGGTTCTGCAAGAAGTTTATATTACGAAGCAAGTATGATATTAGAAGGTCGTGGAAAGAAAGAAACAGTGAATTATGAGGAAGTGCTTGAAAAATTCATGGAGTACATGGGAAGCAATATAACATACAACAAAGACATATACAGTGAGTTTAAGTACTACTGTGAACAGCATGAGATTGAAGTAATGAGTAAAGGAGACTTTGAAACGCTTATGAAAGACAGTGAGGAGGTCATACATAAGAACAATAATGAAATAGTTCATGAGAACAGTGAGGAGGTCGTTCATGAGAACAATGATGAAATAGTTCATGAGAACAGTGAGGAGGTCGTTCATGAAAGACAGTGAGGAGGTCATACATGAGAACAATAATGAAATAGTTCATGAGAACAGTGAGGAGGTCGTTCATGAGAACAATGATGAAATAGTTCATGATGTCGTTCATGAAGAAGCCATTGCAACAAAGAATGAGATAAAGGATTTCATAGAACTTAACAAGGAGGAGTTTAAAGAAGGCTATGAAGTGAAAAGATGTGAAGAAGATTTCTTGGCGTATTTGAAGAAAAAGAGACTAAAGCCAATGGCTCAAAATAAGTTTCAATCGATGTTTGAAAAGAAACGTTTGAGCTATGGTGGTGTAAGAAGCACATATTACTTTGTTAAGAAGTGAGGATATTTATTTTTGTCGTTAGTGTTGGAGTTTGTGAAGTCGTTAGTGTTTGTCATTTGTGCTGAGGTTAGTACTTGATGTTAGTGTTGGAGTTTGTACTTGTTGTTAGTGAGAGAATAAATTAAATCATGAACTTTGCCATTGGTCTC